GCTTCACCACCGCCTGTTCCTCTTTGGATAGCAAGTGCTCCATCTCCTCCCCGGCCGCTCACCTGATCAGGGTGAGATTCCTGAAGTTTTTCAGACGTCTGACTTCCCAGCGCCAGGGCAGCACTGAATTTCCGCCAGCTCTCTGCCCCCTCCTTTTCGTCAGACCTTCAAACTCGTCTTCATCAAGTTACTGATCGGAGGGTCCCTGTTTGGGTGCCACTTGTTGACGTGGGAGTCACGGACAATGTAGAGACGATCAATGTGATCAAGCAATTGCCAAATTAATACAAAGCCTTAACTCCTTATATACTATTTCTTACATGCACTTACAGTGATTTGGCATATTATGATTGGATACATGTCTTGAAGACCCTTAGTGACTAACAAATAATTGGTTAAGCACAGGTGTGAGAACTTGACCTCGAAAGCTTGCCAACAGTCCACAGTTCTCATTAGCTCAGTGAATTCCAGCTTCTTATCTTGTTTGCTTAGGCTTCCTCCGGCCTCTCATGGCCTTGCTGTATCTTTCAGGATTATTCAGAGTTTATGTACTAATTATGCATTCTCCCGTGAGAACACTGTCTCCACATGATTAGAAGTGCGGGCTTTAATGCTTTTCAGCTGATGTGTAACTCAACAGAAAATTCTGTAGTCGGTGCATGTGGTAACGTGCACACACACATGCACAGCTACGTGTATTGCATGGAGGTTTAAGAAAACAATACCCTGAAGAGTGCTAGTAAAGGCTGTTCATCATCAGAATCATAGTAACAGGTCAAGCATATTTAATGACTATATTCTGAGACAGAAAAATGACCACTATCTTGTAAAGGACCTTGTAACTTTTCCCTATGCTCATTTCTTCCTGCTCTGCCAGAGTTGCACCTGCCATTCCCTGAGAGTTTGCAAGCAGCCAGTGAAAACTGCATTGAGGGCCATTGCACAGGTACATGAATGCAAGAGACCTCTCCAATGTGTTAGGAAATATGTGCAAATGTTTAGGGAAACGTATTGGTAAGTTGTACAACACAGTAATGTTTCTGTTGCTCAATTTCAATCTGCGCTTTACTAAGATGCACTTTGCTCCCTCTATACCTTTTCCTATTCAGACAGATTTATCTTGATGGGTTAGAGAAACACAGAGGTGCTTACCAACCCAGTTCCTACACCTTGGGCTGCAGATAGCAGCTCTCACCTTTGTGCTGGTTCCTCAATGAGTCTCTCAGGAGACGGTTTGATACCTTAGCCTCTGCACATTCTTAGAATAAGAATGGTGTCAACTAGTTTGGGTGCACAGAAAATTCACTTTTTTGATGCAAAGGTGGAGATAGCCAGAGAAGACTTGGCTTAAATGAAAAATGATGAAAACACATCTATGTTAATACATGGTGCTGTGAAAAGTTTCAAAATGCAGCATAAACAGCTAACTCAGCACCAAGGTACTCTGCTTGGAAGTCTCATTTTTCTTCTGATGTTTAATGGTTAATTAGCACTGCCACCACCACTTTCCCCACCCTCTCACCTTAACACAATCCCCAGCACTAACTCAGGTCAAGTTGCTGGGAAGTGGGAAACTACTGAAAATGGATTATAGCCAAGAGAAGAAACATAGCACCATAAATAAGAAAATGGGAACTTGGGTGTTGAATTTATTCATCTATGGCTGTGTCTTCTTTCATTTCAGTTGCAAAAAAGAGTGACTATAGCATAGTGTGTAGTGCTATAATGGTGTTGTACAAGGTTTCTCCAGCATGAGATATCTGGGAAACATTAAACCTCTGTGATGTTTATGAAACCCCTCGAAGAAAAATGAAAAGACTGTTCAAAATCCACATAGAAGCTGGTTATATTATGGAGTGGACACTTCAGTCCCAGTCCTCCAGTAACGGGTAGTGGTGAAATGCTTTTTCGTTCTAATTTGGTGTTTGGTACTGTTGTTTTGGGAGATTTATGAAGTCTTTGGTGCTTTCTTCTCCATACATTAAAGACTGGATTTTCACATGGGAAAAACACTCCCATAGGAAAAACTTGTATGGGGAAAAAAGACTCAGGTGAAAAAAGATGTGTGTGGGAAAAAAAACTTGCATGGGAAAAAACTTTCTTTGAAAAACTCATGCGGAAAATACAAAGGTGGGGAAAAAAATGGTGTGGAAAAAATTCACGTGGATAAAACTTGCATGGAAAAAAAAAATACCTGGAAAAAATTCACATGGAAAAAAGTCTCACGTGGAGAGAAACTCATGTGGGAAAAACTCTCTTTGAAAAAACTTCTGTGGAAATAAAAACTCATGTGGAAAAAAAACCTGTGTGGGGAAAAGCTCATGTGGAAAAAAACTGTGTGGGAAAAGCCTCGCATGAGGGAAATTTTTTGTGAAAAAAACCTCACATAGGAAAAGAATCATATGAAGGTTTAAAAAATCATGATTGCTTCCAGTGTGGAAGTACAGTTTCATTCACAGGTGAGTGCAAGCCACCTGACAGGGGAACTCTTCCATGGCTTTCTTCCTCTCACCTCCTCAATGGCTTCTCCAGTGTCTGAGTTAAATCTCCATCCCTGCAGTCACAATGAACAAATTGTTTCTTCTTCACAGTGGCTTTTTATACAGCAGAACACTTACTGTGCTGTTTCCTGGCCCTTGCTTCTGCCCCAGGACAAATTTCCAGGCTCTCCTTGGAGTATCAGAACTGGCTCTTGTTTTTAAGGAGCAGCAAACCCCTCTACATAAATGTAGTGAATGCACATGATTTTGTTGTTGTTGTTTGCCTGTAACTGGGTTTGAGCAGTTCTGATGACGGCCCTTCTGCTTGGGGAACCATTCTGTGCAGTGGGCGAGTGGTCATTGCAGGAACTACCCTGACCCACGCTGTAATTTAAGGAATTTATTGACAGTAAAACCTATGGGGCTGTGCTCCTTTGTCTTAACATGCTGAATTCCACTGTGATAGTGGTTTCTGGTTTTAGAAACAGTCTTTCCTGGGTACCTCTGAAAGGATTCTTTTAGACCTACTGTGAAATGGACCTCAGCGAAGAAGGGGAAGAAAGAAAGGAGAATAGAAATCCTGTTGGCTGGTTTTTATAAGACTGAAAAGCAAATAAGGCCCAAGGCACTGGGAGGAATAAAGATGTGCGGTAAGTGCTGAAAGGTGCTATCAGAAATGTGTCGCTCCTTAGCTAGCAAATACTGGTGCTCTGCAGGGTCTTACATCAAACACCAGAGAGGGCAACACATAGCATGGTGATTTGTGATGTGCTAAAGTCTGGGTTGTATTCTTCCTAAGCTGACATATCTTCCTGTGCTATCTAGCTTAAAATGAAGCAGTTTCCTGCGTGAAATCATATCCTGCCCTCTAGCAAAGAAATGCTGGCACCATTTTGCAAGCCAGACAGACCCACCTAGGTTCCCCTCCAAAACTGAAGTGTGCACTAACGGTACAGCTCAAGTTTACAGGGGGCAAAGGGCCTTTACAGACCTGCATAAACTAGTGAGTCACACCAGCCTGCCTGCAGAGCACAGCGTGTTTCCTTAATTATAGGATGCTCTTTGTTCTGCCTGGTGTTAGGCTGTTTAGAATCAGGTGACAGACACAATCTGTCTGCTGGGCTAGGAGGGTGACTCAGTTTTTCAACAAAGGTTAAGGACCCCCCTCTCACCACCTGCTTTGTGCCCCAGCCAGCCAGAAGGCACACCTGCAATGTACCTGGGCCCTGAAGGATGTGATGTTAATGGAAGTGGTGCTGTGCCACAGGCTCCTACAAAGCAGTAGCTCTGCACTGTAAGCCATGCTGCCTGTACATGAGCAGGGGTATCTGCTGTATGGTCCTAAAGGTGTGCTTTGATGCCTGGCCCTGGCATTTGGCCCTTCACTGAGGTCTCATCCCTCAGTAGTCCAGCTGCTTGAGAGCTCTGCAAATGCTTTCCATTCAATCACCCCATTGAAAGCATTCCACTGCTCTCATTTCACTAGGGAGCAATAAAACAGCAGGCTGCAATGACACCAAATTCAGCCCGAGGATTCAGCCCAGACCTCCAGTGACCAGCTGCTTCCCTCTTAGTACCCTGTGACAAACAAGGTCTTGCCTCACTGTTGTTCAAACAGTGCCATCATCAGGTAGGGGACATCTCTGCATCTCCCAGGTGGCCTGGCAACATCACCTGTACAAACATTATAGTCCAGAGAAAACAGCCTTGTTTGTAACTTTGAGCCCTGTGGTCCTGCTGCTACCCTGGGTAATGTCAGAAAACAGCTACCATTGGTACCCTCTGGAGTACCTTCTCCCAAGTTATGTGCTCACACTCAAGGGAGGACCATGCTCAGACTATACATTAGCTTTTTATCTCATCACCAAGACAGAAGCCTGTCATCCCAGGGTTAAGCCATCACCTCATCCTCCAGCACCTGCAGTGCCTGGGACTACTTGCTGCTGCTGGCCAGTGGGTGAACGCTGGCAGCCCCTTGCTGTTATTATTTCCAGTTTTGCCTGGTTTAATGCTGGTTTTTCCTTGGGCTTTCCTTAGGGCCAGCAGGCACTGCAGGGTGCACACAGTTTCTGCAAAAGACCACAATGAGTTTCAAAAATGAGGGTGAGAAGTTTACTCCCATTTTTTACTCCCACTTTAACTGTGAGACACAGAAGAGAATGCTGCAGAAACGCTGACCAGGATCATGTTTTGGGCCAAATCCCGGCTTCTACCTAAAGTACCTGTGATCTTGGCATAGGAGCCTGACAAGGGCTGGTGCCTGCCCAGGGCACACAGCTGGTGCTGCCTGGTGCTGTGCCTGTACAGCTCTGTGTTGCCGCAGCTCCCAGGGAGTGTTTCTGCTTCCTCTTTGGTGCCTAATGAAACCTCAGGACTCCTCTGACCCCTGGAGCAAAGGCTCCCCATCCGGCAGTGCCTGCCTGAGCTTCACCTGGGGCTCATCAGGGCTGCCTGAGGGACCAGATTAAATCCCAGCCTACAACCCCCCAAATCAGGGGTCGTCTTCTAGCACCCTTCTCTTCTCATGGCAGCATCTGGGGCTGTTATCTCTACTGGGAAACAGAGAAAGCCTTCAGGATGTGCCAGTGTTCCCAGGACTGCTGTGATAATAGGGCTGACTGTGGTTCCTAACAATGGGTAGTGCCACCCCTCTGATAGGTGTTACCTGCTGAGATAGTATAAAAGAGAGAGGGGATGTGTGCTATCTATGGGAAGCTGTTGGTGTGCCAGCTTCTGGCTGCTAGGGCAGACAAGCTGTTTGGCATTGACTGATTCTCTCACTGTTAGCTTACAACTCCAGCCTGGGCAGGCAGTCTTCACTGTTCCAGTTCAAACGTACTTCTGCTGGCAGTGGCTAGTCATGAGCTTATCTCACCGAAACAGCAGAGCTGGGAGCCACTTCAGAGCCTCGGAGGAGTATGAACTGGAGGCAGTGGAGAAGAAAGCCTGGGACAACCCTGTTTACAATGGCTCTCCCTCTGCCTCCTTGAAAATTCGAGCCATCTACAACCCCAACTCCATCCTGGAGAATCCCTATGAAAACTCTGAAGAGGTGGGGGATCCACTGCCCTACCAGGAAGAGCAGAGTAAAGCTGTGGATGGCAATGCAAGTCCTTTCCTCAGGTGCTGCCTGTACATCTTCAGAGGCATCCGAGGTAAAGATCTGACTTCTCACTAGAAAGGCTTTACTAGTCCTTGGGAAGAGTGATGCTTTAGTGGGGTGCGTGTGTGAGTGTGGGGATGAAGGTAGAAACCCTGTGTGGCCCAGGAATCTGCTCAACATAGACTAGTATTATTCTAGAGATCATCTTTGGCTGTCTGGGAAGGATCATCCTCATTCCATGTGCCTTGCTGTAGCTCCAGGATCTGTCCTGTTATATTTAGTACAAGGCAGAAGATGCAGAGACTTTGTGATGTGCTCAGGTTCATGCAGTGAATCTGTTAGCAGAGCTTTAGACAGATCTTAGGTGTCCTGAATCCACAGGAGCCATCACTCTGATGAAACTATTCTGCCTCTATGTACATTTTCTAAATGGAGTGGTACTGGCCCCTGTGTTACAGTAACTTCAGAAATGATGTAAATATCCACCAGAGAAAATCTAGCCATGTCAAAGCTGAAATGCAGAGGATAGCAGCTTTGTGTCAAAGAAGACTTTGCTTGAAAGAAAGCTGATAGAAAGAGGTGTTATTTTCCATCTTAAAACACAAAGGGGAATGAAATATTCTGAAAGCTTATTAAGAGGCAATTAAAAACCTGGGAGAAAATCAGGTCTTCTGGAAGGATACAGCCCTGGGCAAGAGCATTTGTTGAACAGTTTCTTAGAAGCAGGGAAGACAAAGCAAGAAGGTGTACTTCTTGCGGAAATTATTATTTTCTTGCCAGTGTGTCTTTTCTTCCTGACTTGGAAGGCAAGAACCTTTCTCAGAGCTGTAACAGTACATGTGAGAGAATAGCAGTATAACTTGGTCCTGAATTTCACATACCCTCTATGATCAATTCTTTCTTACTTGTCATTGTCATTACATCTAACACTTAATTCTTATACAAACCACAGCTGAGCCTTCAGAGGTTTCTCCTGACTGAGAAGCAGTGCTGTGTGGAGGTGGTAGGTAATTACAGATTGCTCAGAGGATGTGTGCCATTTACTTGTTTTATTCTGATATCCTTTCTTCTAGCCATTGTCTGAGTCTTAAAATGGAAAAAAAAAATCTGTAACATCAAAATATATAATATTTGTGACATGCAAGGGTTGAAAGTGGAGCATGCAAATAAAAATACCTGTCAGGACATGGCAGCATATCCTTTTTCTACAACTGTTTCAGCTGCGTGTCCTGCCACCAGGGACACCTCACACTAGACCATGTCACTCAAGGCTCTGTCCAGCCTGGCCTAGAACAATGTCAGGGATGGAGCATTCACCACTTCTTTGGACAACCTGTTCAGTGCCTCACCACTCTCACAGTAAAGAACTTCTTCCCCATATCTAACCTGAATTTACCCTATTTAAGTTTAAACCCATTGGCTCTTGTCCTATCACTACAGTCCCCGATGAAGAGTCCCTCTGGTCCTCCAGCTATAACTTTAGGTAAGTCTCTGAACCAAGTTTTCAAGGATATTTAAGTGTCCCTGAATTTAGGTGTTCCCGAGTACACTTCTACTCCCAAAGCAAAGAAAGCCTGTGCCTCTATTTCCAACATGAGGATAGTATGGGATCCCTGCCTCATGAAAAAAGCAAATAAAATCTGTTCAAAGACTGTGTTGCAGTCATCTAGACATGAAGGGGGTAATTTAAATGTGACCTGAACAGATGGGTGGGTTGTTTCCCCTGTTTTATTCCCTTGTGAAGATTCCTGTAGAGCACATGAGATGATCTTCTCCAGGATCTTGTTTTTTTTTGCTGGTCTGGCATGTCCAGAACAAGCTGCCGGAGTAAGGGCGTATGCTGCAATAGCTGAAGATGCAAAAAGCTGTATAATCTGTTGAGATGCCAAAGAGCTATTGAAAGGATAGGTGTATGTATATGTGCATGGACTGCTATATCATTTTCCAAAGATATATACAAAGATCACTTCCAAAGAAAGAAGTGCTTTGTCCTCTGCCAGGGATGACTTCAAACACATGACCTTTCATCATCTTTGATCCTGGCTTGCAGGAAGATGACTCTTCCATACTACCGGTAATGGGCATAAGGGCTGAGCTCTCTAGGAGATGCAAAAATCAGCAAAACTATGGGTATTATTGACATGGCTTCCATCACTAGGCTTTTAAGTGGAAGTTCTTTTGCCTTTTAACTTCAGGAGCATTTCAGAAATCACAACAGAAACCCATTACGAAAAGAACAAACAAATGCACTAATAGTATCAGGCGGTTCATCAAACCCAGGCTATCAAGGTTCCTTTTAAAGGAAGCATTTCTCCCTTTTTGATCAACCCTGGTGATGTTTAATGAGTTGCTTTGACTGTGTGAAGAAATCAGACCACTAGCTGGTGTGACTGGCAGAACTCTATTGGAGTCAGCAGAGTTCCATTGACAGACATCCTGCAGATAATTTGGCTCTAAATTTTATGCTGAAAATATTGAGTTGGACTATTTGAGTCTTATGACCTACAAGAAATCTGCGAGAGTTTTTAGTTAAGCAAGGGACAAATATTTGGGGCCTGATGATTCAATATATGCTAAAGAGACTAATAGCTGTAAAGCTGACATTAGATGTAGTTCTGCTGTAAAAGTCCTATCAGAAGGTCAGCTGTTGGCACATTGGTGACTGAGATGAAATTTTATGGTTCCAAGAATATTTCTGACAAAGACTGAATTTCTGCAAAGAGTAAGCTGTAAAACAGGCAGGAAAAGATCAGCCCATAATGAACTCAAACAGAAAACTGGAGAGGGACATAGCAAAATAAAAATAGCCAATATATTTCAGTTTGTCAGCCCCCAACCTTTTTTTCATGCTGGAATAGTTCTTTTTAGAGGTTAACACATTTTTACAGCTCTTAAGTTTTGAAATGAAAAGTGGTTTTGCCTTGAAAAGTGACAAAAACCCAACTCCCAACAGTGTTCTTTGGGAACAGGAGTTCAGCTTCTCACATGGACTTTGAAAATGGTCATCAAACCTCTCCAATTTCTTCTTTACACCCAACAGGTCTGTGGGGCACTACACTGACAGAGAACACAGCTGAAAACAGAGAGCTTTATGTGAAGACCACACTGCGAGAACTGCTGGTCTATACTGTGTTCTTGATGGACATCTGTCTACGTAAGTAGCTGTCGTATCTCACAGGTGTCTTTCCTGTGTGCAGCACGAGGTGAATAATGTGAGGTTTTATTATTAGACTTCATCACTTTGCTGTAGGTGTTAAATTTATTGTACAAGCACTCACTGCATCAAGCTGGTGTGTCATTAACCTACAGAATAGCTGCTGCACACAGAAGTAAAATAACTGACTATTGCTCTAGACCTAATTCATATTGGTTAGGTTTAAGCAGTATTTCCTGATCCACATTATCAGTTCTAGCCATTGACTCCACAGTCCTGGGAGAATCTGGGTCCAGCGTCTTTTCTTAGTTTCACAGCAAACATTCAAGACCCAGAGGGCAGCTCTAGAAACTTCCTGGGATCAAAGACTCAAAGTTCATAGAGATTTTTCCTCTCTGAGACTGGAGGGGTGGCTGAGGTGATAAAGCAGATGGCAGCTCACACTGTTGCTCTTGGGTGGATTTAATGCGTCCCTGTACTGAATGCTAATGGACTTTGTGTAGGTAGAACAATGGCTGTTTGCTCTGGGGGGAAGGTTCATTCATTATCACAAATGAGCACCTGTAGAATGGGACAGTGAAGAGGGTTATATTTCATGGATCCTATGGCAGGAGTGATAGACAGACAATACCCACAAAAGTTATTGTCACAGTTGCCCAGGGAGACAGTTTTTCAGTCACTTCCTAAAGAACCAAGAGACACACACAGACATATGTCTGGTCTCACATTGACTCATCCAGAAGTGGTGGTGGTGGTGAGGGTCTTGAACGTCAGCTGCTTTATTTCTGTGGTGTGCTTATAAGAGTAGGACATATTCTTACATGATGGATGTTTTTCTGAAGGAAGGAGCACTGAGGAGTTGAAACAACATACTTGTGGAAGTTAGAGTCTGTTCTTGTTTGAGGTTTCTTGGTAGATGAGAACTTACCTAGAGCTTTTCACTTGGGAAAATGGGGTGGTCTCTATACCTTCATGGATTCACATAAGAAATTCAAAATAAAGATCATGGATTTTGCTCTGAAAAAGAAAATTTCTCCTAGAAATTTTGTCAGAGGACAAAAATCATTACCCAGGATGTTGAGTTGCACCATCCAGTGATCCTCTCTTGCTTCTAAACTCTTATAGTCTGTCAATCTGACAGTTTAAATTCTGGAACATGCAACAGATAAGTTCATAAATCCCTAAGAAAACATAAAGTAATATGATTAGAGTTCCCAAGATTTCTTCTTTTGTGCCTTGCACAGCTTACCTTTGATGGTATATATTACACGGAAAGTGAATATATAGATATATTTACATCAGGCTCCAATATAGAGGTATAAGGGAAAACCCTCCTCTTGTCCTTCTCTAACAGTGACATATGGAATGACAAGTTCCAATGCCTATTACTACACCAAAGTGATGTCTGAGCTCTTCCTGCAGACCTCTTCGGATGGCCGTGTCTCCTTCCAGTCTATTGGCAGCATGGCCGATTTCTGGGTGGTGAGTACAAATTTGTCTTCAATCTGGTGTCTTAATAACAGGCCTATGTCTGTTTCCATCGGCAATGGTGGGAACAACATAGTTAACCTGCCTGTAGTTCATGCCTCAGCCGGTCTGATTTATAGATTCCTTATGAAAAAGATGGATTAAAACTTGCACTGACTTCAATCAAAGAGAATAAAGAGGTGAAAAGACGTCTGGGGTCTAACACATTTCTGTCAAAGAACTGTTGAAGGAATAGTACGAGCAACAGTGAATGCTGTTGAGATATTGCAACCACTTATCTCTGACAGTCAGCCAGAAATTGTCACTTATCTTTGCCTTTTTCTGTTGCATTAAAGAAGTACAGAGAACTATGTCACTATTGTCTTACCCACACTGTTTCCAGGGCACTGACACATGCCCTTTTGATAATTCACACCTCATGCCAAAGCAGTACATTGAGATGTGTGCTCACTGAAGTGCAAGTGACAAATAGGCTTGTAAGGGCTCTTGTCTCTTCATTAGTCCAACAAGGTGCAGCAGCCATATTATAGGCTCTTCCCTCCTCCCCCTCCTTAGCATACATCCAGCACAAACTTCCACTACTTTCTGTCTTGGGAGGTGGAGAGGGATGAGTCAAGTCTCACTATCTCAAGCTCAGGCTAAGAAAATTCCTCTGATGTGTGGGCTATGAAGTTGTTCTCCTCTCCCTCTTGCAGTATGCACAAGGCCCCCTTCTGGATAACCTTTACTGGACGAAGTGGTACAACAACGAGTCCCTGGCAGCCCACAGCACCCAGTCATACATCTATTATGAGAACCTGCTGCTGGGTGTCCCGCGCATGCGGCAATTGAAGGTGAAGAACAATTCCTGTGTGGTCCATGATGATTTCAAGGAGGAAATCTCAGGTTGTTATGATGTGTACTCAGAAGACAAGGAGGAAAAGTTCTCCTTTGGGCTCATAAATGGAACGGCGTAAGTACATCTTCTCTTGCTCAGGATTAGAAAATCCAAATTAGTCTCTTCTAGTTCAGATAAGATTTGCTGAGCTGCAGTATGCTAGGGGTGAATTCCTCACATAAGGCTGGAATTTCTCATGCAGTCAGAGGCCTTTTTGTCTGTCACTAAGGCCAAGTGTCTGTCTGAGGAATAGCACAGCAGAATGAGTGGTAGAGTGGAATCTGTTGCAAAAGCCATGAAAAATCCAATGGAGAATTGGATAGAAATTGTTGCCTGTTTTTGAGAGGATGAGGATAAATAGAGACCTTTGGGACCAGATCTATCAAATGGGTGATGCTATCTCTTCCCCTCCTGGATTTCAGGAGCCAGAAAGAAGGAAGTGCATCTCTTATCTTGAAAACCTATTTTTCTATAATCGTGTGCCGTAGATAAAGTTTCATAACTCTTTGCTTGCTACATGAGTCTTGGCTGTAAATGAGAATTATTCATAAGAAAATACCAGTGCAAGTGTGTTCTACATGGTGCATGTAGAACATGCATGTTCTACATGTTCTACAGTGCAAGCGTGCAACATGGTAGAAGGTGATATCACAGATCCTGGGAGTAACCTCCATGCAAACAAGACTGTGGCATAGCCAACAAACCTGCAGTATCTCCCCTCCGTAGTATCACAAATCATGTTTTGTCACTGCTGGGAAGCAGTAGATAAGAAATGTAACAATAATGAAGAATTGATGTAGGCTTAGATCTGAAATAGGGATTGTTAACTCTTTAGTTTTAAAATGCACTGTCCTTGAAAATGCAGTCAAATTACACCTGGCTACAAGGTCATATCCAAGCCTGGAGTGGTGATGCCTTTGCTGATGGATTGTCTGTTGCAGGTGGAGGTACCATTCTGAAGAGGAGCTGGGTGGCTCATCTCACTGGGGAAGACTAACCAGTTACAGTGGGGGAGGATACTACATAGACCTCAAGTTGACCAGAGAAGAGACTGCTGAAGCCCTGCAAGTCTTGAAGGAAAAATTGTGGCTAGATCGGGGAACACGAGTTGTCTTCATTGATTTCTCTGTGTATAATGCAAATATCAACCTGTTCTGTGTTCTGAGGTAAGCCAAGTCCCACTGAAAATTCTTCTGCCTCTTGCTTCTTCCTCAATGCCGCAGTTTCTTAAAACACAAATATTTTAGTGTGATCCACCAAGGGGGTATGACTGAGTGATTTAAGTAGATATTGTATTGATTAATAAGACTTGGTCTTCCTGACATTACCAGGCACATTTCACCTTTCACCCTTTTCTATGACAGACAGTGCATCAGCAGAGATAAGGCTACATAAACACAGGCACAGATCTTCCCCTCACGGTTTGGCGGATAGCTCATGCTCAGGTTTGATGCCTCTCATAATTATCTGAGAGCTTTCATTCTCCTGTTTGGAATCATAATTTTCTTGTCCCCTTCAAGGTTAGTGGTTGAGTTTCCAGCCACTGGTGGTGCCATTCCTTCCTGGCAAATCCGGACAGTCAAGCTTATAAGATATGTCAGTGCATGGGACTTTTTCATTGTTGCCTGTGAAATTGTTTTCTGTGTCTTCATCTTCTACTATGTGGTGGAAGAGATTTTGGAGCTGCGTATCCACAAGCTTCAGTATTTCACCAGCATCTGGAACATCCTGGATGTGGTTGTCATTCTGGTGAGAATCCTTGCATGCTTTGTTGGGGGGAGCAATGGCAGTGGGGTATAAGAGTCAAAGTAAGTTTAGGAATGGGAAAACTGGTCTAGATAAGACAAGAGCTGGCACGTGTTTTGCTCTGCAGCAAAATGAACTAGCAGAGTAAGTGGACACATGGTCTTCTATTAGCTGTTCAGAAAAAATCTTTCCGTAGAGGTGCCTGAGGGGCTGTGAAGTCAGGGCATCACCTGGCACATTATGAATTTATTTGCATCCCCCACCAGTAGACTGCAGTTGTGAAGCATGATACCAACAAACTTTGTGACAGTCTAATTTCTGTGAAAGACATATATACAGTTGTCACTGCAGACTCTTCCTCTTTGCAGCTCTCCATTGTTGCTATTGGGTTTCACATCTTTCGCACTATTGAGGTGAACAGACTGTTGGGAGAGCTGCTAAAACACCCAAACACCTATGCGGACTTTGAGTTCCTGGCATTCTGGCAGACACAGTACAACAATATGAATGCAGTCAACTTATTCTTTGCCTGGATCAAGGTATTCTGGGGTGTCTGGGAGGTGCTAGGCTTCCAGTGTCAGACCTCTTACTTTAGATACCTTTAGGGTTGACTTTTCCATCCCTCTGAGTAAATGAGGGTAACAGCTATATAATAGAGGATTTTCCTCAAAGCCATATGCTCTGTTTTACAATAATTCCAGACTTTTCACATTGCATTCTGAGCACTCTGGAGAGAGCAGACAAGGAGATGAGCGCAGATGTTGTGGTGTAAAACTGGTTTTAGAAAATGCTGGATAAAATGTAACTTTGTCTATCCTGTATGATTTTAGTACTTTGGAGGATAATCTGGCACATTTTCCTTTCATGAGGGCCACCCAACAACTGGAAATGACTCATCTGCTGGCATAGACTTTGCATTTTAACCAAAGCATCTCAGCATAATGGAAAGCCACACTGTACTTAGGGCTCCTTGTTAGCCTCAAAATGTTTGTCCTTATAGTATTCCCTCTTCATATGTTCCTTTGACACAGGGAACAAAGTCATATGTTTATGATCCCACAGGAAGATGGTGGCACACATGGGACAAACATCCTGAACACTAAGCCACCATTCCCCTAGCCTGGCTGTCATCTTGGTGCTTGAGTACTGTGATGAACCTCTTGTCTTAGTAAGCATGTGCCCAATATGAAAGACTGACCTAGCTCATGGTGTGGCCTAACTATCTCCCTCTTCTTTGTTCTCACAGATATTCAAGTATATTAGCTTTAACAAAACAATGACCCAGCTCTCCTCCACACTGGCACGTTGTGCCAAAGACATCCTGGGCTTTGCCATTATGTTCTTTATTGTCTTCTTTGCCTATGCCCAGCTGGGTTACCTTCTTTTTGGGACACAAGTGGAAAACTTCAGTACCTTTGTTAAATGCATGTAAGTGTACAAGTTAGAACCACATTTCCATCATTTGTGAAAAGAATTTCAGCTGCTTTCCAACTTCTCTCTAAAGTAAAATCTGCAAATCTGAATGTCGGACACCTGTTGTATCTCACTTCAATAAAGCCACTATAGAGCATTATAGCTCAGTTTCTATTCTGCAGGACCTTCTGTTACCTTCTGATCTGCTGGGGTCAGTAGAATGGTGCTGTCTGCCTGTCACTGAGACCCTGGCAAATTTGCTGTTTTATATACCAGCAGATGGCTTTAGGCCTGGTTGGGTTAAACGTCTCTGTAATCCTGGTGGTAAGAACTAAATAGCTCAAAGAGAGTGTTTCAAGGAAGTGTCAGAGTGTTGGTTTGTTTGTGTTTTGGTTTTGGTTTGTTTCTTTGTTTGTTTCTTTGTTTGTTTTTTGTTTTGTTGTTTGATTGAGCTTTTTGTTGTTGATTGAGCTTTTCATCTTATGAACTTGCAAGAGAAGGCTTCCATGAGTCATATGCCTTTATAAAGGAAAATTCAGGTGGTTTTGGTTTTGGTTTTACCCCCTGTTTAGAAAAAGAAACACACGCTTTGGACAACCATGGAAACCATGTTTTACTTTCCAGCCACCTTTTGCTCTATCCACATCAGCTCACTTCACCTGTGAAATACTATGGGTACATTTGACACACCAGTCAGACTGAGTGACTTAGACCCTGCTCTGGCTTTTGTCTGTGACCATCTGGCTGCATACAGGTTCTGGGTTCACCTCAGGACTGTCTGAGAATGTAGGATAAAAGTATGTGCCTTTGGGTGACCTTGTGCTCTTTCTCTCCTCCAGTTTCACCCAGTTTCGGATCATTCTTGGTGATTTTGACTACAATTCCATTGACAATGCCAACAGGGTCCTTGGACCTATTTACTTCGTCACCTATGTATTCTTTGTTTTCTTTGTGCTCCTGGTAAGCAAGAAAGCCCTTGCTGCCCCTGTATTGACAGCAGTGTTTGAGAGACCCGTCCTGACAGTTCCCAAATCAGGCACAGTGCAAATTCTCAGACAGAAAGGAAGTTTCTGTTACGATAGCTTTTCAGTGCAAATAGACCAAAGTAGACAAAGACCCTGTCACTGCAATTGGGGATTTGATGATCAGGGCGATTAAGGGCCAAATTCACATCCTTTAAGGTGAAGACTAAAACTGACTGAAACCAATACCAATGGTATTCCAGTCAGTGGTATTCCAAGCAGTAGCTGAATTCAAGGGGCTCAGTACAGCTGCTCTGTAGCAGGCAGTGTACAAAGCATGAGGGACAGTCTCTGGCTTCCTAGGCAATGGATGCAGTGGGATGCTCATCATGACCAGGTTAAACTCCCAGTGCCAGGAATCCAAATGTAACCTAAGATCTTGCAGGAAAGGCTACCAAAGATGGTATTTAAACTGGGAACAAATGTACCTCCAGCCACTGCTTTAGCTGCAAGGACCTCCTCCCCAGTGAGAAAGTACTGCGTGGCTGAAGTGGGCATTCCCTTCACCCGCTTTATCTTGTCCAAGGGATACCACCTGTGGAAACAGCTCCTTGTTTAACCAAGTCCTGCATATCTCTTTCTGCTTCAGCTGCTGAGGCAGGCAAGATGCCTCATGCTTTTTCATCTCTCTTCCTCCCCTTTTTCTAGAACATGTTTCTGGCCATCATCAATGACACCTACTCGGAAGTCAAAGAGGAGCTTTCGAGCCAGAAGGATGAGCTGCAGCTCTCAGACATTTTGAAGCAGGTGACGAACAGTGAAAGCTGTGCGACTTTCTAGCTAAATCCTGAAACATTTTCTGGAAGTCCCTCACCTCCATGGAATTTACTAGAAACAGTGGTTTCCACCTCCAAATCCACCTTTTTGGTGCACACAGGAGTCACAGTTCCTTTCTGAGATCAATCAAGCTCCCAGATCCTTTAGTAATGAGGATGGGAAAGCAGAGGTTTGGTGAATTCTGTTACTTAAGTATGCTGGCAATGTTTCTGAGAGACTTTTCTTCCCTATCTTGGGAAGAAATCCCTATCTTGTTTAGAGACTATCTTGTCTCTAGACAAAGCTGTTTTGGTCCTTGATAGAGTGAATAAAATGGCAGGTCCTATTTTGCTAAGCTGGGCATGTTACAGTGGTGCAAATCTGTTGGGTTACATCTGGATTTCCCATGGGCAAATTCAAAAAGAAGTCCTGAAAGGTCACAACTCTCTGTGCTGTGGGACCAATGTTCTACAAAGAATAGTATTTGAGACATTATCTTAAACAGCTGGTGACGGAGATCAGATAAAGGGAGCATAGGGAGGAGAAAGGCAGAGAACAAGCTTTGTCATGTAGACCCTGGCTACCATGTTGGCACCACGTTGAAAATGTGATCCTAGTTTAGAGATGGGGCTCATTCAGCAGTGTTGTATTTTTCTTCTGGAAGGCCCTGTATCACAAAGAATCTGCTCACCATGTTGGATTGTCTGCTCTGCCCTATTTTTTACGGTTCTGCCTGCATGATTCTGTGTCTGTTTGCACCTTTGGTAACAGAGCTACAACCGGACACTTATGAGGTTGAAGCTGAAGAAGGAACAGATTTCCGATGTGCAGAAAGCACTGCAGAATGGAACGAAAGAACTAGACTTTGAAGACTTCAAGAACAGCTTGAAGGAGTAAGTGAATCAGCCTAAGAGATGTCTGCTTAGCCCTTTCTCATGCTAATACAGGCAATTTAAATTCTCTGGTTTTCAAGACTGGGAGAGCTAAGATATGGGTGATGTAGGACTCAAAAATATAGTTGTCTTCCCTCACATGTTTAATACCCTGTTCTAAATAGGTTTGCATTACTATCTCTTTCCCATTTGGAAGGTTTAGGTTTGCCACTGGCAGGAGGAAACAAAAGAGTGCTCCCATACTGTTAGAGGTTAACAATGTAATTCAGTGCTTTGGGCTTTCTCTGTATTTTTGCAGACTGGGCCATGCAGACCATGAGATTACAGCAGCCTTCTCCAGGTTCGACAAAGATGGCAACCTCATCCTTGATGAAGAGGAACAGCAGCAGATGAAGCATGACCTAGAGGCAAAAAGGGTAAAAAAAGGGGCAAGGAAAGAAATGCTATTTGGTAGAGATCACTCCAAAGTGGCCTTGGGAATCTTTGAGTTTGTGGTAGAAACTAAGCAGTCAACTCAAATACAGCTCCAGCTCTGCCTGGTGGCAGCTGAGTTTGTCATTGCCTGTGAAACTCTGTTATTCACAGTGAAGCTGGCACAGAGCTAGTATCCAGTTTTGCAGGAGTTTCTTTATCTTCTAGGTTGCTCTGAACACAGAGATTAAAAATTTGGGGAAATCCTATGGTGACAACAACCTGGATGAGAATCTGACCTGCATGGAAGCAAGGAATAACCACGTCAATAAGGCCAGCTGGGTCTCCAAGCAAGAGTTCCAAGTGTATGTTTGTGCTGGCGGTACTTCAGTCCCTCTGCAATGAGGGGTCTGATTCCCTGCTGCTTCCTTCCCTGATGTAACTGTTTGCATTGGTGCTGAGCAGTTTCAATATGATCTTGTCCTTTCTTATCTTGCCCACGTGTAAATGAGCAGGTCAGGAGAGAACTGGGACAGTTCTGGCAATGTAATTTGCTTGTTCGCATAAAAGATTGAGTTAAGAAATTTTGCTTTTTGCCTCTCAAATAACCTCTGCAGCCACCAGCTGGCCACAGGCAATATGCTGTCATGTTTCAGCTCAGAATGTAGCCCAGAAAGCTGGGCCAGGGGAACTTGATACCTCTACAGAAGGTCCTGTGGGAATAAATATCCTTGATTTATAGCCTAGCTGGCCTTCATCTTTCAGGTCTTGAGAATAACATTTGGCTGTTTCTTCCACAGGAGGAACATGGCATAAATACAGTACAGAGAATCAGGAGAACCTGATTCTGCTACTGAGAAACACAGAGCAATACACACAGGGCCATATCAAAGGAGAGGCATGTGTGATATTTAATAATGGGGTTATACTGTGGCTGGACAGAGATCCAGACTGGTTGGAATCCATTCTAAGCAGAACCACTAATTACAGATAAACGCACAGTATAGAGGGAGTAACGTCTTCAGTGGGTATGAATCGATTATCTGATGTAGAGCATTCAGTCCTCTTTGAAGTCTGATCCATTACCTGTGAGATGTATGCAGCAAATCTTACTATTCATTACAATAAAAAACTTGCAAATGATCTTCATGTCTCCCCCAGACTCCTGCATCGCGTGCTACGGCTGGAACAGTCCCTAAACAGCATTGGCTCCAAGATTGATGCAGTGGTGAGCAAGCTCGAAGTTCTGGAGAGAAACAAGCTGATGAGAAAGGACCTGTTGGGCCAACCACTGGATAAAGTTACCAAGGTTGGTAGCCCTCCACCATGCACTTGAACCAGCTTCAGGACAGGTGACCAGCTCGTTTGTGTGAAAGGGCCTGGTATCATCTTTGCTTTCTCAATCCCGGTTAACATAAGACAAAAAGGGTTAGGCAGGGTCAGCATTTTGCATGATCAAGCCTTTCCCGTTCAAGCAAAGTGACACAAAGCCTCTTGTTTTCATGTCCCCCCAGTTAGTCATGGAACCTTTCAGTACACTTTCTAGCTCCTTTGAGGCCAAGCTCATTTCTGTGGCAGTCATGCAATTCACTTGTCTTCAGTTACTTTGTACCTGCTTATCCTCAGGCATAAAGCAAGATGAATAACTATGCTGTCCTTTCCAGAAACAGCAGCTCATGACAGTGTTGTGGACTGTGATCTTAACATCTTGTGTGTGGATTATTTATCACACATGATGGAGGAGATTGTTAGCGGTGTACCATAGCATTTCATTACAGAATTGTGACTTTTGCCAAAGACTGCCTAGTGCAGACAACCAGAACTTTTGGGTCTTCAGCTTTAAAATCCAAGGCAGCAAGACATATGGGAGCCATGTCATCATTTCATGGTTTTATGGCTTCAATAATGAGAACACACAAACAGCACAAAGTGACCTAGCTGAATCAGAAAGAAGCCTCTCTTTTTGCAAAGTAGTCTCCTGATCCCTTCCCATCCGAGTGTTGTTTTTTTTTTTTTGGGGGGGGGGGGGGGGTGTCCTCATGGGAACATGCCTGAAAGCTTATTTGAGTGCTTGCATATTTGCTTTACCACAGCATTTCTGTGGAGATTCTCATAGAGGGTGAAAAGGGATGAATATTTCCTTGTTTGTTTAATGCTTGAATGTGCATTCATCAGTGAATTGCAGCAAACAGTATATTGGATCTTTAATGGACAGGCAGGCTTGCACTAATTTCTGGAAGAATGTGGGAAGATATTTAAGTGTGTTTCTCTCCTGGAGTGCTGCTAGGCTTCTTGGTAGCTTACTGACATTGCAGGTCACTCTTTCTTCTGGTTCACAGGAGGAAGAACCCAGTCAGAAAGATCTGCTCCCCCAGAGCCTAGACCAACTAGGGAAAGAAGCAGTGGAAGTCTGGGGGATGGAACACATACGGGGAAACAACCTGAGTGGCAAGTCTTACCAAAAAGGTGTCTATCCCATCCTGCCCAGGTCAAGTGTGCTGGAGTCTCAGGTGCCCAAGAACAGCCAGCCACAGTCAGCTGTGCTCTTCTAGCAAAAAGGCCAGTGCTCTCAGTCTGGCTCACACAGTAGTAAGTCACTTTCAGTTGTTTCCTACTGTTAGAATAATCCAGACAGCTGGACACAGCACTGTTGCCAGGAACTGGTGATCCAAAAAATCAGGGATGCTCTTTTTTTCAGTGTAATGGTGTATAATGTCACAGAGATAGAGCTGCTGCCTTTCTCCACCCCCTGTATCTCTGGAGTAGGTGGAAATTTGGAACCAAGTGATGTATTAAATTTTTGCCTCTGAACAGGCCAACACAAAGCCTTTTATCTATCCTTTCCTGAAAAGTAGAAACCCCAAAACTCTCAACATCTGTGTCCAGAGTAGCACCCTGCAACTTGTTCCCAAAACACACACAATTGTCTGCAGGACAAAAACGTGGTTATCCCATAAACAGAGCAGAATATAATTGTTAGTGTGAGATGGAAGGGGAAAGTTCAGTTGTTTGTGTCTGCCTTTGTTCTGTTAAAGTTTGTTTCCAGATGCTTTGGTAACCCTCTCTGTACCTTAGATTCCGACCTTGAGGAAAGAAGATACTAACACCTGAGTCTGGATAACTAAAATAAGAGTTGACTCCCAAGTGTCACTGGGAAGAAATCTGAATTGTAACTGATAGAGTCCTAGGTCCCTGGTTAGGGAACAGACTTCTGGTTATACGGTTTCTAACACAGCTGTTGACACTAAAAAAATCTCTTTATGTTGTCTGTTTTCATGCTCTCTAAATTGCGTTTTGAACTTGAGATGCTTCTGTTATTTGTCAAGGAATCAATCTGGTTTGCAGTTGTGAGTGCTGACACCATTTCAGTCAAAGAATTTTGTGCAAATGAGATGAACATCAGTTTTTCAGCCACATGCAAAAATACTTCTTTCCCAGGCATTTTTCACTTTGTTAAGACTTCTCTTGTAGCTGGCACAGACTATTGCTGCTATTGCAGGACTACTGTAAATGTGTTTCAAATATCTTAATTACTGGTATTCCACAATAGTTAACCTCAAATAGGCTCTGTAGGCTTAAAGCCAATAGAAAAGTGAGTTCTTTCAGACCACTGCTTACAACTTTCATTAGTGCTACACTGTTTAGTGTGCTATGCAGTGCAGTGATAGTTTTAGAGGGGACCTTGTACACTGGCATGTTGTACTGCCACCTTTCTAAGATGGATGTGTTGCTGTGTTGTGGGGAAAGCCTCCCTGGGAATGTCTGAAAGACCTCGGGATTATCCCTGTCCCCAGAAAGCCTAGGTTCCAGGGTTGTCACCACTACAGATATCATTGATGTACTGAAGCAGAGGGTCATTCATCTATGAGATCCCAGAAGGTGCTGTGAGACCTTGTCACCCAGCCCACAGGGAGCTTAGATTTCAGCCAGGAGCTGTGGGTGCAGGAACAGCACAGGGTCTCACAGCTCCCTTCCCATCTGCTGGTCCTGCTGTCAGCGACAAGACTTAGCTGTGAGACATTGCCACGGTTCTTGACTTCCAGTTCCACTAAATTCAGAATTGATCAAGAACTTCTTACCTTCAGCTTTTCCAGCTGAATTCAAAACAATGATGTTGCTTACTCCTCTTCTCATTGAAGCTATTGTCTTACTGAGGAGAAAACAGCCTATGTCAGGAGAATTTCCTGAAATAGGCTTTTTTTTCCCCAAATTTTAATTAAACAGAAAATCCATACGCTAAATTGTAATTGATCAAAGGAGCTATGTGCTTTGTAATGGGCTCGAAGAGTGCACACAGCCCTTTGCAATTAATGAATTGGGTGCTTGTGTGTGTTGGAAGGCACAGAGGAAGATTTTTCCTTAAATTCACTTATAAGACCTTTGGATAGGTCCTGGCTCAGTAGCAGACTATGGTTATCAAGGCCGAATCGCAAAATCAAAAATACAGGCTGCTCTTCTGAAGTCTCTGAAGAAGCGCCTGCCTTTTCCACAGACTCAGAATCTATCAGGTGATGTCCCAAGTCAGTGTTACTGTATGATATCAAATACTTGTGATATTGATCTCTAAAGAACTAAGTCTGGCATCATGGAAGAGATCTAAGCAGCAGCTCTCTGCTTCAGGAGGTTGATCCTGTGCTGGTAGAGTCAGTGGAAGATACATTGCTGGCTGAGCCTCAGCTCCTTAATGTAGCAACAACTACTGTGAGGACAACAGGATCTTAAAATGGGTCCTGACAAGAAAATGAAGGTGAAAATGATTATCTGTAAGGCCTGGCTTTATAAAGCCTCAGATTTCTCACAGGGAGAGTGTTGCTTGGTTGTTCTGCTCAACAGAAAGGTGGCACAAGACCTCCCTCTTTACATTGCGCAGTGTTTCTGTTCCCCTCCTGAGCTATGCCAAAAACCTATGAGACCAGCCCTATGGATAACTGGTATGTACCTGTGCCTGTATTAATATCTTCTCTCTTACTCGTACATACATCTCCATGCAACTGTTTCCTCTGTTTCTTTTCAACACACTGTCATGTTTATATGTCCTAGAGTAGGGCAAGGAAATTACTTTTTCCTAGCAAACGCTTGTGTATAATTGTCAATTCTGTCTTCAAGCTGATTGATTGAGAAATAACACAAATAAACTGAATGGTAAGTTCATACAGCTTCTATATTTAAATGTGTGTTGTCAGACCTCCCATCGGGAGGTGGTGTTTAGATGATATGTGTCTGATGGGGAAATTAAAGTATTCTTAATATGATAGTAGGTGCATGGCTGTGTTTTGTTCCAATTTGCAGAGGGTAACCTTCCAAACTGCAGTGTCACTGCTCTGCCTTGAGGTGGTTAAAATTTTCAGGAGGAGGTTTGGAAAAGTATAAGATTTTCTGAAGAGGTATCACCATCATGGTTACTTGTGTTGGCAGTCACACTGGCTGGGGTCTGAGCCCCATTTTGATAGGTATATACTCTAAAGGAGAGGCTGCCTTAAAGCACTCTCAGATCCAGCCAACGGGGGAAGAAGGCAGCGTCCTAACCACAGTGTTGAATCACAAGTAAGGCACAGACAGATTCATTGGTGTGTACAGGCAGTGGCATGGCAGAGATGTCTGAAAGCAGGCCCAGGCATCGGCAAAGGGCAGCCCCAACCAGCCGCGGCCATGAGCTGGAAAGCTCCCAGCAGTGTCTCTTCTCACTGTCTCTCCAAGTATGTGACACATTCGTCTCAACAATGAGCAAGCCTAACTTTTCATGTTTAAAAGGAATGTGTAAATCCCGACCTCTCACAAATATAGGCAAGCTTCTAGTTACCTTATCAACTGTGTTTAGTTTACCAGTAGATGTCAGTCAGCACCACTCACAACCCTTCACACCTCCAGCCCTTCTCTGTTCCATTTTCAACGAGCTCAGTAGCAAGTATCCCATTTGTTTTACTGAGAGAAACTGAGACAAGCAGAATTACTTTCTCAGTGGCAAAAAGCAGCAGAGTCCAAGGTTTCCAAAACATACTTTATGATACTAGATCCTCCCACTTGTGTATTTGTTGCAAACTTTGTCCATCTCTGGCAGGTCACAGTTCTTCCTTCTCCAACCTGTAACAGGGTGAGTGTTGTGTTCACTCATTTTTTTTCAGTCGTGTGAAAAAAGCCTTTAACAATCCCTAGTATTAGCCTACAGCTGCTGCTGCTGGGTCAGCTTTTTAGCACAGCAAGTTGCTGGCTTGAGGGCTTGCTGCCCTGTCCCTGCCTCTTCTACAACCATATAATAGCAGGAGTCACTTATAAAAGGAGCAGTATCAGGGAACAACTACCAGTATTCACAGAGTTTATCAGTAACTAGGGAAAAGGGAGGGGAGAAGCCATCATTATCTGATAAGCCTGCTGATTACAAACCAATAAAGTGCCATGCCATCCTTTTGCTGGTCACAAAAACCTTAATTCAGGGCCTCCAAACCTGAAGGCAAGGAGCCTGGTTCTGGGAGAGCAGTTGCTGGGTTCAGCCCTCCTCCTGAGCTCAGAGGCCGAGGGATGTGTTTAAATGAATATGCCAGGGTTTGGAAAGAGGTGGCCAAATTCAATACTTGAGGAACTGACTAAGAAGCCCTGCTCATGTCCTGGTTTCAGAGGTGGCAGATGCCAGGCATAGCCCATTGCCAGCCAGCCATGCTGCGCTCATGCCAGGTACTCAGGTGGCAGAAGGGTGGCAGCCCTTTAGTGCAGCGAGCTAAGGGCCAGTTTGTGGAGTGCTGAAGGAGGAATGCAAAGGCTCAGCTGAGAAAACAGTGTGGCTGTTAAGGTGACGGGTCTCCAGCCTGAGGTCACGCCAGGCTTTGCTGAGGCGTGCCACAGCAAGTTAACAAGTGAGCCCTTGTGCCTGGCAGTGATAGAGCTCTTCAGCACAGGATCTCTCAAACAGCTCTGGATGGTGCTGTATCCTGGCCACTGCTGTCCTCAGAAGATACCAGTCATTTGTCTGCTGGCATGCTCATCTCCAGGTGCCAGGAGGCACAGCAGCCTATGAAGCATCATGCAAGGCAGGAGCTTGAAGCCAGCTGTGCTTGTGCTGACTGAGAAAGGGCTGGGAAGCCATCCCAAGTGATCATTTTCATTAGCTGTGCAGATGTGCAACTTTATTTTAAACCAGAACTGACTGCACTGACTTCTGTTTTCTTACCTGCATACTCATGAATACCAAAAGATGTAATCAAATGGACTGTTTAGCATTTGCGTCCCAAGGCCTGTGTCTGGGTGCTGTGGTCAAGGGTCCTTGTGATGATGCAGATGCCAGTTATTGAGTTCTCATGTCTCCTGCAATCTGGTGACCATGGGTTGGTTTTGCCTGTGCCTTTTCATATACCCTGCAGGAGATACGTGTTCAGTTTCTTGTCCTGTCCCTCCTCTGTGAGTCATCAAGTTGTTCATTGTCCTTTTTCTCCCAGTTTGAGTGCCTGGAGCAGCTACCCCTAGATGTGTTGATGTCCTAGTGAGCAGCTAAGATCAATGCCATCAACACCTGCCACTCCTGGTGTTCCACACCCAGACTTTCCTTTACTCACCACCATTCAGACCTACCTTATCTTTTCTATTATGATACTCTGCCCACCTTGCCTTTCCCAAAATACTGTCAACTGTCTAATGTCCTAGGACACCTAGCTGACCTTCAGTGGGTTTTGGGTAGCTCTGGGCTCCCTTTGCCCCTTTGCATGTACTACTCATCTCCACTTGATGGCTTGGCTTCGCGAGCGAAGATTTGGGAAGGGCTTTAACCACGCTTACTACAAGCACGATGACCAAGGGCATGTGTGATATCCAAATCTGGTTGGAAAAAAAGGCTGCTTAGGCAATCAGGAAGTGTCCAACCATGACTGTCAACTCCTGAGCTAACTCAAGCTACCCATGCGCTGGTTCCCCCACATGCAGCGTTGGATCTGCAGCTTCCCATGCACCTTGTCCCCTGCAGTTTCCACCCTCGCCCGTCCATACAGACAAGTGAGAGCGAGCCCTTCCAGCCTGCGCAGTGGATTTGTTAGGTGAGGCGCAGCTTGCGCAGAACTGGCCCCTCCCTTTACACCTGAGGTTTAACTGCCACGGCCTAGTTAGCTAGGATGGTGACAGCAAAGTCCACAGGTCGTAGGTTTTGTAAGAGTGTTCTTCTCTTTGATGGAAGACCGTACAAGGCGAGCTCCAGCAGCCCAGGTTTGAAGATAGGAGTTTTCCTTCTCCTATGAGGAAGGCCTGTCTTCATCTCCACTTACACAGCAGTTTACAAACTGGGAGAGAAAAAATTAGGTCTGGAGAGGAGCAGAACAGCACTGGCAAAGAAAAGTGAAGGTGCCCTGGCCAAGACAAACACCAGGCTTGGTGTTAGCTCTAGTTAAATAGCTAAATATTGAGGTGCTCCTGGCACCTAGTGGAACATAACCAGTCAGGCCATCTGGAAGGTGAGTGCAAAGAGCTCCTTTGCTATGCAACCAGGTAGCTATTTTCTTATCTCTCCTTCTCCAGAATACAAGCTATTTACTGTCACACTATCTCACATTCTGCTGTTGTGCAGTATCCCTTTGGGGAAGGACACTGCGACTCTGGGCGTACAGTATCTACTGCAAAACAGTTTGAATCTTTTGGCATCTGCCACAACAAATACTAATGGCAGCAGCTCAGGCCTTGGGAGTGGATAAAAGTTAAACAGTTTTTAGGAATGGCTGGTGGGGCAGTCTGGACTTTGTTCCTGAGGAAGGAGGTGAAAAGTCTATTGGCATTATGCATCTGTTGGCATTATGCATGCCAACATTCATGTTGGAGGCAGCTAACCTCTGGAGAGCTGAGTTGGGATAGTCCTAGGTTCTCTGTAACATCGCTAGCAACAGCAAGATGTAGCTGTAAATATCTGAGAACATTTATATTTTAGATTTTTAACTACTAAATCATAGAATGGTTTGGGTTGGAAAGGACCTTAGGATCACCTGGTTCCAATGCCCCTGCCATGGGCAGGGACACCTCACACTAGACCAAGTTGCTCAAGGTCCCATGGAACCTGGCCTTGAACACTGCCAGGGATGGAGCATTCACAACTTCCCTTGGCAACCTGTTCCAGTGTCTCACCACCCTCACAGTAAGAAGAACTTCTTCCTTATAACTAACCTGCATCTCCTCTGAGATTTAGAAGAACTGATGAACTGCACTGGTGGTTTAGATATGCTAGATACTTTAGAGTACAGTTATTATATCCTTGTCTGATCACTTGTTTTGCCCAAATAACACCCCTGTATTGATCTTACAGTTTGGCTATTCATGTTTTCTGTCAGTCAAGCCCATAGTATCTCAGTGTAGCACACTGGTTAAACATTGATATCATTTACTCTTAGAATTGTTTTAGATCTTTCTTATCTTTAACCAGTTACTGATTTAGTGCTACCTTGAATTCAGATAATGGACTAAATGATTAACAAAACAAAGTCAGATTTCTTCTACATAATCTTCAAGTCTTGCAAAAGCAACATCCCCAAGGCAAGAAGCACTTTAACCAAGGGAGTTCAGTCAGCATGAGCTTTGACACCGTGAGCAATCAGGGTGAAAAAGGCACGCTGAGATTTTTTTCTTCCACCTAGGGTGGTGAATTTGTGGCTGCAGCAGATCAGCACGTGTACACATCTGTATAGGGTGTGTCTTTTAGAATGGTTTGCTGGAGCTTTTGGAAAAGAAGAGCTACAAAATCTCTCTCACTCATGCACCTTGCCTGATATTTCTGTCTTCTGCATTGATCTCGGAGCTGCTTTTGTGCAGGGAGCTTTGGGATCTGCTTCTTGCTGCATTCAGTAGAAAAGGCAATAGTACTCATCAACATGCAGTTCCTCCTGTACATACTTCTCATGCATTCTCTTGCTGGCTCAAGTCCCTGAAATATTTTACAAGTTTTATGAAATTCAGCACAAGGCAGGATCAAAAAACCACTGTGGATCTCCAGGGCAACGAAAACAGCATCCTGAAGAAAGTGGAGAAACAGATCTGACACTTTTGGTCTGGTGATTCTGCTAAACAAAGTCATGTCTGACTTGATCAATGGCAGCAAGTCTTGGCTCACATGAAAAACTGGAGTGGAAGGAACCCTCAACACGCCCTTCAAACACATGTTTTTGTGAAGCTGTGCTTCAGGCTGAAGGAAGACTGGAAGAACGGACCAGAGCCTTCTGTGGAGAGTGGAACTCGTGGTCCTCAGTAGCTCCTTATCCATTCTGTGTGCTGAGGCACATGCAGAACATGTCCA